TCGTCCATATTTATTTTGCTGTTTGTTCGAGGCATTTGAAAGCAGTCCAATTTCAACGAACGCGGCACAACATTGTGGATTTATGCAACGCGTTACAGGCTGCGTCTGTGTTTTGTTAGTCTAATCCCCGAATTCTGATAAATGGTTGTCCAATGGTATGCGAATCCATTTTTTCCCCCATTGCGTTCGTCTAGCCCCAGAGGAAGAGTTGACGCACTCTAGCGACGTATACGTTTCCTGCGAAAGACCGTGGCACAGCGAATACACGTCCATAACTCACTGCGAAATTTATGAAAGCTACCACGCCGAGTAATCCTGACGATATCCAAGTTATAACGCTTAAATCATGCCGATAGTTCGCGAACCGACGCCAGGAGTTATTCATGGAGTTCGCGAGACATCGCGAACTTGTTAAATCTGCTCGAGCACACGGCTATCGATGTCAAATTGTTCACACAAATATAGCGAAACCTGTCCAACTTCCAACGCGAAAGCTACTGCCATTGAATTTAATAGTTTGCTCGTGCGAAACGAACCGCTCCGTAAATCTCTATAACCTCTTTCCAGCGAGGCAGAAGTTTATTTTAGGTGCGCGTCGAATGAATCGCGCTTTTGAAAAGTTTCAGCTTTAAATTAAAAATAACTGTTGAATTAAAAATGTGCAAACAGAAATTAATGTGCCACGCATTCTATCATTCTGGAAACAATATGACAAAATGTAGTAGTATTCAGAGAAACCATTGTCAGTGATAAGTTTGAACGATGTGTTGCGAGTGGAGTTACGTTTTCTCGTGTAAATTTATAAATTGCAGTTTGTTTTAAAGTATAACGTTTCAAAAGTGAGTACATACTTAAAATACACGCGAATTTGTTGTTTGATGTTCCACGCAATACTACATTCCACACTTGGCACGATTTCACAGTTTCAATTGCAAATTTCCACCACTTCAACGAATATCAAACTCGTGACAGGTTTATTATTTTTTTTAAACGAACACACGAGATAGGGAGATTTCAGTCAGTGTGTACAACTATCATTGATGCAAGAAGCATATGCATGAGACAACTGGAACGATGCACAGGGTGCGCTGGCGTGAATGACGTTTGCAAGCAGTTATCCAAATTTACATTTCATCGATACGACAGGGGTAACGGGATGTATCTGAAGTAGTTTCGCCTAAATACGGTTAACCGTGATCCCTGTTTCCCTGCTGGATCTATCACTTTGCACAGGTGAAATTCGTGAACTTGTACAAAGTGCTGGAAATGGGTAGTCCAAACATTAGCAGGATCTATCTACACTTTACATGATAGAGATATCATAAACAAGTTTTTATTGTTCATTATGAGTCCATAAAATTTATGGGAATGAAAGGGTGGGTGCTGGGTATAAAATAAATATTCAATTTATTGGATATATTCATTTAATTTTGCATGTAAAACAAAAGTAAACGCGATACTCGAGATCTTTTTATTTAATTATATTATTTAAAATCGCATTTGTAAGGTATGTTTGAAGTTACATGGGGATTAACGTATAGTATATCATGTTTAACTTATAGCTTTAGTCATTGTCCTATATGAAGTTGATTATTCCTATTTCTTTTAGAAAAGTTCAAATTATATTAGAATAAATATTTCCCAAGTGACTAACAGTTGTGAATTTACTCGCTGAACGGGCATGGTACAAAGCGATCCAATTTTATTGCAATTTCTGTGTATGTAATTAATCCGATTCAGAGATAACAGCTTTCGCAAACTCGCCAATAAAGCGCATCTCTGTGTTCCGTTGGCCAAGGAACAAAAGCGGATAACGTAACGGAATTTTGAAGCGTGTTCGTTACCTCATAATGCAGTACAAAGAAAAGCAATGCATGTTAAAGCACTGAGAGAAGAGGTCCGCAACGGTTTGCCCACGGTTTGAACGATTCGTCCCTTTGAGTCGGAGAGCCAGAATGAAAATGGACCAGACCGTGGCCGATTCGATAGTTTAGCAGTATTGGAGCGACGGCAAAGTGAAATTTCCTTAATGAAAAGATTCGATATGATACTCCCTTTCTCTCCTGGCGATGGGTGTTTTCGTTATACGACCAGTTTTACGCTCTGTGTCGAGTAACGATATTTTCTCATCCGTTTCTTGATCCCTTTCGTCGTTGGCCGATGCCTCATCCATTTTAATTGTTCCTTTGAAGGCCTTTCCACGTTGTAAGGTTTCTGTCGGTAAATAACGAAGCAATATACTCGAGATTTAATTGTATATTTCTCGGTCTTACTTGGTATCTCCAGAGAATGTTCAATCTTCTCTTCCGAGGCAACCATCGGTTGTAAATTGACGCGTCTTCAGCGCGAGAAGACTTCAATGAGAATCATCGAAACGATATTGCTTCCCCCTTTGCGTAATGTATACATTTGGTCCCCCAAAGTTTCCCATCGATCGCCATTTATTTGAAATCTCGAGTTTCATTTGTTTACCGAACGAGATATCAGTCGATGTTATTAATTGCTCTGGTATAATTAGTCGATTTATCGAATCTCGTGCTAAGCGCTCGTAAATTAATTTTCTGTCGAAACGGTGATGTTGATTAATTGTTATCTGATAGGATGAAATAATATTTCCTATTCAAATACTTGAATATATATTTCATACAAATCGTTTATTCGCTTTTAGGGGTTCCTTTTTAGTCGCAGGTACAAAATCATGACCGTGTCTTAATTAGTATTTAAGTACTCACCAATTCGATAAACCTGCTTATTTATTGGATCGATGGGGTATTTAATTTAAATATTATTAATTATCTATTGAATTCAGTATCTATTAATTATATAAATTTAAGATTGACTATTTATATACATTTATAAATTCAAATTACATGTCACACGTATTTGATATAATTATAATAAATCAATAATTGTTTATATTGTATAATATGTCTGATTTTATGGATTAATATATAAAAAATGTATAGATAATATGCATACGTATACTTGATTGATATTTAATTCATTTAGGAAAGATTCTTGAATACAATGTTTTTATTATTCATTCTACTTTCCGACTCTACTCTGCCTGAATTCAATTTATTCCTAAATGGAATGATAAAGCGTAGAATGAATAATAAACATTGAATTCCTCACAACTGTAAAAGAAATCATTATTTTTGCATACAGGGACTTTGAACGTGGAAGAACACGTGAAACATTCATTGCTCACGACAACACGTTTCGGATGTATATTTCATCGTGTTTTGCTTAGATTTCAATGACACGGATAGCCTTCTGTGTGTGTATATGTACATACATACGTACGAACGCATTTCTGCGGACATTCGCTGTATACAAGAGACACCCATATACAGGGCACCGCCATGTACAGTTAGGGATAGCAACGTGGAAACTCCCTTAACAGTATTAACATTTCAGGGATGTGCTTGAACGGGATTCTGAGGACGCCAGAAATCGATCCCCGACAGATTATATCAACCACAACCAATGCTATCGAGATGACACAGGGAATTCACGCTGCGTATCCCCATGACTGAATTATTATTTCGCTCATCGAGAAACGATTCGACTTTCCAGGGTAAAATTCAGTTAATTTTTTAAATTTAATTTGAAGTAATCAAATAGAATTATAATTTTCATTTCAAATTAAACTTAAATAACAGTCAAGTAATATTTTAGGAAAGAAGTTTGTTCATTAAAGCAGTAAAACCATTTCTATTAATCACGAACGTTTCTCTAGGATTTCGATAATTCTCTGACAGTATTCTCGTAGACGCAGTTCTCATTAGCAGAGTAAAGAACCATTGACACGTAAATTTTCATTTTAAACTTCGAGATTGCTCGATAACATGTTCTCTTCCAGACGCGAGAACGCGGTCAGAGTGTAGGAGAACAGGGTTCTTACAACTTGCACCGTGTACACAGTTTAAATTTCTATTTACTTTTGCAACGAAAACTTCCTCCACGGTGCTCGAACAGCTACTACAAGTTTACCAACTGCGATGTAAGAGTAAATGGCTTTTCCTGTGTCTGACGTGGCGACTAAGGACCCTCCATTATTTGCGAAACTTTTCTATCCTTATGTCTTTATCCTGTCGCTCTGATGGTTCTTTTAACGAGACGGGAATGCAACGACTCCAGAATGGCATAATGACGCCGCTTTTTCACGTCAGCCTCGATACGCCCGACTTGCATAAAAATGAGCATCGTTTCCTTTGTGTTTCAACGAAAATATCTTTCACGCTCAAACGTTATCGCACGATCAATGTTAATTTGTACTACTTTATGAACTATTAACTAAAACAAAGGAAAATAATTTTACGATGAACAAATACACTCCCGTTCATAAATATGTGGACCCTTATCACTAGACTGCGTTGGTATGGTTATGCAAATTAATATTTTTATATGCAAATGAAGAAAGGAAACTTAAATTAAAGTATGCTTTAACTCCAGAATTTTGTAATATATATTTGCATCAACATTATAACATTTGTTTGCATCCTCTTCATTTATTGTAAATGCATAAATGCATACTTATCACTTTCAATGAATAATTGATATATACCGTAAATTCTAACTATAAAATTTCATGTTAATCCCTATTCCTTCCCAACGATCAGCACCTTTCCTCGTAAATCCTCGAGAATGTAGACAAAGAGGAAACAGTGTGTTCGCGTGCGTTTTTTCCCTCTGAACGAAATTTACCGAGAAATGGATTTCAATCCTTCTGCGAGCTACGCAGCTTTGAGCACGACTCTCTCTTTCTAACCTGCACGTCGAGCTACGTTCGTGAAATTTTAAAAGAAAAACCCTGTCCTCGCGCCAGTGAGAAATTAATTACCAGAAAGGGAGGAGGGGGGGGCGACTACGTTTGACGCGTATTGATCGTATCGAACGTGTGTTCCTTCGGAAAATCAAATTTGCGGCGGGTGTATAACAGCCGAGTCGCTTGGATAATTAGTTTGATCGGGTCGAACGTTACGCCCACTGCTTACCTGGAGATTGGGCGGGCAATGATCGAGGAGTTCCAGCATGTGCCTGATGTTCTGTGCGTCCTGAATCACGAAGTTCAGTTCCATGTCAAATTCACCGCCCACCAGCTGCGAACAGAACGAATTGCGTGTTATTACACGTGGCATCGAGTGGCTATGAATTTGGAAAAAAATGGTAGAGATCCAAATTTTGTGATGTGAAGTACGAGCTTCGATTTAGTTTTGACCCCTTGACGCTTAGGTTTGAGTCGTTCATTTTTCATTATTTATTAAGCGTCTTAGCCAACTTTGTTTTAGTGATGTCATTTTGAATACCTAGAAGCTTTCTGTAAATAATCTTCTGTATCGAATTAGTTGAAAATATAAACGGCTAAGAGACGTAGCAACAGTTCTTTGTCTGTAGATTTAATGCGTAGTAGAATAGGTCATGCATTGATCAGACGGTGTTTTAGCTCTCACTTCTATGAGTGTCAAACGTTTCTAGATCTCTTCATGTTTGGGTTTCCTGATCAGTTCACATTCAATAGAGTAGATCAAGCATTCAATTATACGTCTATAATAAAAGCCTTCAAGAATCATCCATAATGAATGTGTTACTCGAGTCAATAGCTGATGAACGTATATCTAGACTAATGGCTGACCCATGCTTGACCTGTTCTACTGAATTGCTGCATCAGACTCGTAAGTACCGTAAATATAACTACGGTAAATGCAATTAAACATGCATGCATATTTTCTCTTTTATTTTTTTATTTCCATTTGTTATGAAACTCGTCTGAGAGGAACACTTGATACTAATAACGTGAATACTGCACGCTGTTTATACGTCGACATACATATCTCTGTTTATATAAGCTGACCGAGGTTACATTCATAACATTACATGTATACCTATGCTCATACATCTTTGGACGGTAAATATCTATGTACATAATTATACCTGTTAAATACACGTGTTTCATGACGCGTGGTAATTGTCGATGAAAATAAATTTTAAAAATTCTCGGACCACGCTTGCGATTGCTACACACGTAATATAAATCTAGCATCGATTTATTAACACATTTATTATCCTAAAATCGAACTTCATCTCTGCATACCCATCGTAAATCGAACATATATCCTACATTAGGTTCCGAGTAGTGTTTTCGATCTCGCAACATTCGCGGTGTTTCTCGATGAAGTATTTATTTGTTTGCGCTCTTGCCACGGGAAACGATGATCTATCGCCGCCGAAAGCAATGTCGATAAAGCGTTAGGCGAAACGCTAGGAGTTCACGAAACTGCGTGCGTTCCCCGTGTCTTCTTACGCTCCAAACGGTTTATGTACGCGGATGCGCTGTCTCCGCGGAGAGCGTAATTTCCGGTGAAGTATCTCGTTCTCTTTCCAACCAACCCCTCTCTCGCCGTCTTCCGAATACTGGTCTCGACATCGATCATGAATCGCTTATGTCCGACCTACTACGGGCGACAGAGTCATGAGCAATTTTTGCGATCGCCGATCGGTCGTAAAAATTCATGGATAAGATAAGGTCGTTTATAAAATTGAAAAAAAAAATTATAGGTGAGCATATTCCTCGAAGAGGGGCTTATTGAAGTAGAAATGGGAATAATTTTACGCCAGAGGAACGTGTTTCACACGATTTATGTCTCGTTCGGGTTGGGTTTAATAACAAATTTCAAACGTGTGTATTTCATTTCCAATTTCGGCTCTAAGTGCCGCGTCCTCTTCAGAAATAAGATATTGCCATTCATAAATAAATAAGGATGATTTCATCCACGGAAATGTATGTTTTATTCAATATTTTATAAGTTTCTTTGCTGAATTGTGCTATAAAAAATGTACTGATAAAATATAAGTCGAAATCGACTTGCTTTGCCTAATGCAACATCCCGGGTCCATTTTCTCAGACTCTCTATTCACGCTCGAACACTCGACGCGCAAATATTATCCAAGAGCCCTCCGTTTGAACAAATATGAATCCCGCCATTCCGTTGCAATCACATGTACACACACACACATAGACTGTTCTAAGCTGATGCACTCACGTTTGGAAGTCGTAATATATTCTTGAAGCGATTCAAAGCTACGAAAACTTGAAACTCCAGGAAATTTTACATCAAATTAAACTAAATTCGTTGCACAACTTTTGGTAACAAAATTTACAATTACAGTATATTATTTCAGACAGAATGAGTTACCTAACACCTTAAATGGTCGGAAGTTTTGATCTCAAAGCTTGACCAATTTTGCTAAGTAACAGGTTCTATCTTGAATAATATGCTGTTCAAAGTTTTTCCTTTGTAAAAATTCTTAATTTTGTTCTACATATTATTTTCCCTTGTTTATGAATGTTTTTGAAACAACAATCTGTTTCGTAGAAGGGAACGTGAGTTTGTATTTTACGATTGTAGTAATTCGGCCACGTTCGTGCATCGAGCAGTTATAGGTGGGGGTTTTCCACTGACTTTTCGAGAATAGTAGAACGCGCGTGAGTTGCTGGTTTCGTTGTCACGTAGCCGTCGTTCGAGAGGGACCCTAGAGGAAAATAAATTCAGCGGGAAAAAAACGGGGGTCGACATTATTGCTCGCAGACAACGATTCCACGTTCGACGCCACAACCATCTTCGAGATGCGACCCACGCCACTCCACGAAATTCTGGGGGGATCGTATACCGGGAATCAGAAGGGTGGTGGGAACACGACGCCGAGAAATAGAAGGATTGATGAAGGGAAATATCGATCCACAACGTTTGCCAATACATTCACCATGTGTACATCGAAATAAGAATTTTTCAGCGAGATTTTTTGCGATTCTCGACGTACGAGTTTCAGGATGTTGCATCGTTTTTGAATATTTGTTGAGAAATTGGCATACGTTCTGGTACAAAGAGGGACTATTAGAAAAAAGATACATTTCCAGATTTTAGATGTTTTGATACATTTGAGCCATTCATTGCACAAATCGATTAACTCCATAAAACAAAAAGTTGAGAAATGTGATGAAATAATGTACATTGTTTTTTAAAATCCCCTTTATAATATAAATTCAAATAAATATACAAGAAAGTTCTTTCGTTTTCAGAAAAGTTATTATAAATATAAAATGTTATGACTATACCAAGTGCTTTGACACTCAGGTTGTAATTCTTTTTATATTAATTTCATTAAATACGCATTGGAATTGGCATTTCTTTTTTAAGGTTTTTCTCAATGGAGCTGAATCACTAACGAAAACGTACAGAGCCGATAGCCTAAAGCATTGGTGACTAAATTCGAGACGAGATTCATTTTTGTAATAGATTTCAATGTTAAATCTAACACATAGATAACAGATTATTGTTCTTAAAAGATGTTGAATGGATACTTTCAATTGGTTGGCATCTACTGTAGTATTTTGTTCAGTTAAATAGCAATTGATTATGTAACATCAAGTGCTAACGTAAAGCCAACGCAGATGCAAGAACTGCTTTTAAATCTAACCACGGATATATAATGGCAGCGATTCCGGAAAGAAAACGTTACAATCTGTTTACCTCGACAGGCAGAGTACCAGGAAATGGCTTCTACGGAAAAGTGCGGTCCCGGATACGCTGTTTGCACTCGACGAGCACTCACCGGTAACACTACCGTTGCAAATTGATTGCGATGGAGCAAACAGACTCGATTGGCCGGATTGTTTTTCCACGTAAACGCCAGTGAACGGAATTTCCACGAACAACGCGGACACGCGCTGCACGGATCCGTTCGCCATGTTAAACTGGCGATCGAAAGAAAAGATGACAAAAATAAAAATAAACGTAGAATTCAGAAAACCAAACGTAGAGGACGTAGAAAAATGCTTTTTGATCGGTCTACATAACTGAGTAACATTCGTTTAAAAAAGTACATCAGTTTCAAAATTTATTCTGGAGTTCAGGTTCAAAGTAAAATTTGTAAATATTCTACTCGATAAATTTCATTTCTATGTCTCTGAATCGAAGCATCGACATGCAATTTTAATAATAGCTTGTTGGAGATTGCGAAATTATCCCTCTCTAATTCTGGTCCATCAGTGACGTGCACGCGTGTTTGTGTTTGTGCGCAATCGAGCAGTATTCGCATACGAGCTCGCTGAAGAATGGGCATACGAGGGAAGGCAGAATGGGATTCGGTGAATTAGGTCTGGCCAGCAGAGCCGACCGCTAATTGGATACCACTTGCTTTTACACCTTCTATGTTTCCGTCAGTCGAAAACAGCCAGCTGGTACAGTACGTGCCAAATTTGCGTATTCGGCAACGAAAACAGTGGCCGTGTTCCATTCAGTGCCACAAATATAACGTCACGATGCCGCCAGCTTGGGAATTTCTAGACGAACCGCGGCAAGGAAATAATGAGACTGCGAGGAGGAACTTCTTCGTTATTATCTACGCCGGTTTGTTATCTTGAGGCGATATTTTAGTTTAGCAGTTTTGTAAAAACAAGAACAAGTTTTTCAAGAAAAATATTCCTTTATATAGAATTCCTTTATGTTAAATTCATGTAACTTAGTACGATATGTATAAATAGTGGTACACGCAAAGTTTAATACTGATACCTCAAATAGTCAATTGACAAAGGAAATGTTGAAAATTATTTTGCTCGAGTTTATACCACAGCTACAAGCGATTATCGCACTAACAATATCTTGCAAGACAAATATCGTGCATTCGCCGAATGCAAAACACAAACTGAGCTGCTTACAATACAAATAACATGTGATGAGGTTTACGGATTAGCAAGATCTCAAGGGGTTCAGATCTTACGGATACATAGCGTACTGATATTCGATTATACCATCTCTATTTGAGGAAGGGTCGTTGGAACGTAGAACACACTATAATTTGTAAACAAGCTCATATTAAGCTTGTGATTACGGGATGTTATCGTATCATTAAATCAATTTAGAATAATCCAATTTAGAATAATATTAATTAGTTCATAGTAGAACTTACATTTACCAAGTGAATTCATATCACTTTCATAATGAACGACTCGTTTATTTCCCAAGGAAAGTGTTAATTTAATTCCACGTTGTATTTCCCATCTAACCGTGTTCCTACAAAGGCATACAATCAAACTGATCGA